TGCACGAAGTAGGGAGAACAGCTACAGTGGGGCACGTGTACTTGGCCATGCCTGACTTAGATGAATCAGGTTCCTAAATTTTATGTAAAAGAAATTGTGTAAAAATTAAACTTGTTAGAAATTATGTGGAAAACAGTGATAGAGATTTTTGTACTTTTTCATCTGGCTTGTAATGCAACATATTTCAAACATTAATACTAGATAAATATTAACTAGGTAAGTTAGTTAGTTAGGCTAGTAAGTTAAAGAAAGGAAGGCAATTTTGACAACTTTTAGCTTAAAATCTACATGTTTAGTTCCTATCGCTTCTTTCAGCGCCGGATTTCAATATATGTTTAATATAAATGTGTAACAGGAAACTTAAAAATATTCCTCGAAATCTCGAATAGAAAGAGAACATCATTTTAACTTTTTTATTAAGGACTGTAATGAAAGTTTGAAACATCCCATTTGCAAATCTAAATATGTTATATACATATACAAATTTCGTAAAACTTGTTTATTATTCAATGAGCTACGAGCGATTAGTGATTTCAAACATTGCAGTTTTGCACGACTTCTGTTATATAACTGAGATAAATTGAAAAATTATCACACATTTGTGTCTAAGTCTTTTTAAGCTTCCACCAATTTTTATAAAATCTTGTATTTGCATATAATTTATAAAAACATATACGAANGTTTCGAAGTATTCCTCGAACTCCTCTTTCTCCCGTTGCTCATTCGGATGATCCCTGTTGAAAATTATTAAATACTTTCATTTCACATCGACTTGTATAATGACTTCATCAACAATATTTAATTAGTTGTATAACATAATTTATAGTAATTTTACTACGTATAATGCAATTGTATATACAGTGACCGAAAACAAAAGTGCGATCACCCTGTAATTGTTTTACAACAAACATTTCTTTATATTCCTACCAGTTTGCGTTTAAGAATATAATTTGTATTCAATTTTTTTCTTTCGTTGTCATATACAAACAATTATACAATAAAGTAGATAACAAAGAAATTTCTGAACCATTAACGTAAAGATTGGTTTTATTTTAATATTTCAATTAATTACTGCATTTGATCAGAACAATTTATCTTTAATACATTTATTAAATATAAATTTCTTAATCATTTAATTAGTTAGGTTTTGCCATAGACATATGTAGTGAACCCCATTAATATTCGGACACACTTCAACCTAGAATACTTTTTTTAATATTGAACCAAACTTAGTTTTCTTTGAGATATTAGGAGGCCTGGTTTGCTACATAATATTTAATAAAAAATTGAAAAAAATTGCTATTCATCAGAATCGCGAACAAAACAGAAAAAGGCAGGATGTTTTAACTTTTTTTAACACGATTTTAACTTTTTTATTAGGATCTCTAATAACAATTTGAGACAGCCTATTTATGGATCTAAGTTATATGTATGAACACAGTTTCATGAAAATCGGTGAAAGCTTAAAAAAGACACATCGAAATGTATGATAATTTTTCAACTTATCTCATTGTCAATTGTATAGCGAAAGTCGTGAAAAACTGCATTTTTTTTTATTTCTAATCGCTTGTTACTGATAGCAACATTAACCGATTTTAATTAAGCCTTCTAACATTCCAAAAGTTATATTGTTTAGTCCGATGTTTTAAAACAGTTATTTCGTTTTGGAATGTGTTTGAATATTAATGAGAATCACTATAATTGTTACCTGCGGTATTCTTCCTTCTGTAGTTCCAACTTCTTCTGATAGTCTGTATATTCCTGGCTAAGTTTTTGTTGCTCTTCCACAGATAGCTTTTGCCCAGTTGAACTGAACTGACCAGGTGGTATCAAGGAGTGCGTCAAGAAATGTGAGACATCATGATCGTCGGCCAAACCACCTTGAAAAATATATTATATACAACTGTAGTAAATGTTACAAACATGGTTCGTCCGCAAGTTCCTGGAACAATTCTTTAATTGTCTGTGTAACCTCATAAACATTTTATTGATTCTACATGGTCTCCTTTGTAATTACTGCAAATGCAGTGTTTTAGAGGAATTCCTAAAAACTCGAAATGCCCTGGGTAAATTATTTTGTAGAAGTGTTTTCAAATAACATATCACACTTTTCCTGTTTTCGAAAATTGAGTGATATTTTCTTTTCGTACGTGTAACTAATCATGAATTTGATGGATCTCAACAACAAATGACGTTGAACTATACGTTTCATGCTAATTTATCACGACAATTTACAAAATTTCATCTGTACGAAATGAAAAGTTAACATCTTTTTCCTACAAATTGAAAAATGCAATGAAGAATACTAATGATGAAAAATTGAATTGATTGCAAAATATGCTGTTTTAAAGCGTACTCATTATTATAAAACATCAATAAAAAATGTCATTAATTAAAACCTTTTTACTATCGATTATAAGTCATACAAGATAGACATAAAAAAATATTAAATTAATTAAAAAACTCCATTGTCTATTACATTTTAAAAATATAAAAATATACAGAATTTATTATCCTATGTATCACCAGCATATTATAATTACTTCAATAATTTAATTATTTTGTGATAACTGACAAACAAAAAATTTTATTCTCTTCATTATAATGATGGTACGATTACTAATTGCAAAACTATAGAATCCTACCATATCTTCTAGCGTTTACCTATATTTTAGAATTGAAGAGCTCAGGATAACAAACACAAACTGTTAGCTGTGAAGATGATAGTAATAAATACGACGTTTTTCAAAGAAAAATAAATTTGTCACCAAATTATGTTAAATGAAATGTAATATTTTATGACATAAAATATATTGTTCATGATTTTTTAATACTTTTAGTAAAAAAATCAACAGTTCAACATGATAACAGTTCAGTGTTCAAAAATTACAGTACATTTTGGGAAGAATTTAATCTCGTTCATGGCATCGAACGACTTATTATATGACTGTTTGTTGTACTGACAAGGGAAGACTCCCAACTGTCCAACTTCGATCCTTATGATTTTTTGTAGTATGGTAGTATACGTGTCCAGAATGATATACATTAAATACTAGGTGTAATCAATCAACACTTTGCGAGGTAGAAATAATTAAAGTTACATACCAGGATTATGTAAGTAGCATGTATCAATAAATATACTAACCAGTGGCTGCTGACACGCCGAAGTATCCTCCCTTTGGTAGAACAACGTTCTCAACTCGGAAACATATATCATAATCTTGTTCATTGTTTGTCATACCATTATGGAACAGCACCTTTAATTAAATCTAAATATTAAACAATGAATAAGCTTTTAGATTTGAGAAAAAGAAGGGAAAAGAAGAGAGGAGAAATGAAGTCATTATTAACAGCAAATTTTATGCATTTATAGCAAAACTGAGTATGTAAAAACATAAAAAATACATATAGAAGACAAAAGTGTAAAAAGAATTAACATTAAAATGCATAACATGATGCTTAAAGAATTAAAGGGTTAAATATCATTTCTTAAATTGATACCCTATAAGTTTTATTTTGCATAAAAATCCGCAGTCCAACTATTAAAGAAGTGCGTGCAAGAGAAGATTAAAATTCAGATAATAACAGAATGGGGAAAGTAAAGGATGAAATGTACAAATGAAAGCGGGTATAGTTAAGCAGTAGAACTGAAAAGTAGAGGTGGAAGCATGAGTAGAAAATGCAAGGAAGGAGAGATTGAAGTAGAGAGAAAAGTGATACATGGAAAGATACAACGTTCAAGATATAAGAAGCATAAGAAGATCGATCAACATACGTGGCTACCGAAATAAATAAAAAAGGGAAGACAAGTACAAAATGCAGACATATAAAAAAAGTCAATAGATATTAAGAAGATGAGGAGAAGCGGAAATGTGTAGAATGCAAGGAGGATATAAGAACAATAAGATACTCAATAAGTGGATTGCAACAGATGAATAGAACAAAACTAAAGGCATCACAATATTAAGATTGTAATTTATATAAATAATTATACAATGAAAGGTATTTATAACAAGTAATTAAACAAATTAGAATAGTAAGAGGAATACTATATGTACAAGACATGTGAAAATCATTTAAATAGTACTTTTACTTTTAGAGGAAAAAATTCTGAGACGTCAGAATCTTATGAAACTTCAACATTAAAATTGGAATTTAGAAAAATAATTAGATCTTATCATCAACTATTAACATTGGATAGTTGAAATTTGCAGTGAATTGATACAAATCCCACGTCTAACAATAAGGCATATGCAAAAATTATTCGAATAGGAATTTTGCCTAATCTTTCGAAAACCCCCATGCTCCGAAATAGCTGAAATTTTAGAAATGAGTTCTTTTTTGATAAAAATCATTTCACAAGTTACCGACACAATCATAACCGCGGTTTTGTCGTACTCTTAAAACATTTAAAGTGCTTGATGGTCTTGTAGCTGTTTTAAACGGGTCGTACTTTACTATGAAACAATTTATTTTAGGAGTAATCTTCGATGTTGATTAGATTGAAATAACAATAAATATAAAAACTGCACCTAATACAGGGTGTCCCAGAAAAAATGTTAGAGCCGAAAAGGGGTGATTCTAGAGGTGTTTCTGAACAACAATTTCCTTTAGTAAAATGCAAAGTGAGCCATGGTTTTTGAATTATTAAAGAAAACCACTGATCAATGAGAGCACGCGTAGGGCCAGTATCCAGCCACGGGTAGGCTGGCTCGGATTGTGACGCTCGGCCGTTGATCAGCGCGGGCCCTACGCGTGCTCTCATTGGTCAGTGTTTTTCGTTAATAATTCAAAAACCATGCCTCACTTTGTATTTTGACAAAGAAAATTATGGTTGAGAAACACTCACAGAATGATCTCTCTTCGGCTCTAACACTTTTTCTGGGACACCCCGTATAATCCTTCAGACAACCACCCTCTTTCAAATTTCGTCCAATTTAAATTATTCAATTTCAACAACAATAAATATAAAAATTAAATTACAGGTCCATCAATTAAACCCTCAGTCTCATAATGTCTCTCGAGGGCGAGAGTACATATTTCTCGACAAAAAAAAAATCTGTCGTTATTGACTCTATTGACACAGTTTCATTATCAATAATGGAACATTTCTGCTGCGTTTGTTCATAAGAAAATTGGCATGCAAAGGCACGAGTTATTATAATGCAATTTTGGCAACTCAAATGCCAATTTTCAAACCTATGGAAATTTTTACATAGGATTTACAATTTTTGTAAAAACAATAGAATGTATGATACAAAGGCATAATTGTTCAATAAGTTAGTGTGAATCTTTCGACGTAAATTGAAATCCCTTGACTGCGACACATATTTATTGATAACATTTTCCTTTCCATCGTACTAAAATTAAAACTCCCCAATTCTTAGCGATCACCTCGTAAAGATACATTTCGAAAATATTAAATAGAAATATATTTATGGTGATAGTGTAGTACATAGATAGATTCACCTTAAGTAGAGAGTAATAATTACTATGTATTATGTGCGGTCGAAATACTATGGTCGTATTCCTCTGATTTATAACATCGAAAGTAGCTTAAGGATCCTCAGCTCTCAATGTACATTATATTCTTCTTATACTTTCCTCAGAATTAACTCCATTTCTCTCAACCATTCACTACCATTATCAAACTCACTCATTCTCTTGGTGATAGTGAATCAATTTATGCGATTACATGCCGATGTAAGTGAAATGGAAACAACGATGACAATGTAAACTCATCCACGTTTTATTTTGGACTCTCAATAATCTCGATTCAAACAAATGAAAACCATCAAAAACAATTGGAAATAGCAGATTCTTTAACTCGCTTTCAAACCTGTTTTGCGTATTCCAGCGGTCATGACTACGTCGGTAACATAGGCAATGACATTTAAATAGTAAAATTTTATTTCCAGTCGCGAAAAATCCTTCTCATAATCATGATTTTTTTTATTAAAAAAGAATTTGTTTTCAAAATTTTATCCATATTGGAGCATGGGGGTTTTCGGAAGTACTGCCGGAATTTTGGTTTTCCCGAAAAGAATTGTATTTCCATATAAACACTATTACAATTGTATTTTATATGAATAACTATCTTGAAAGCTATTAACAATAGGCAACTGAAATTTATAGTTAATCTGGGTCAATGCTATAGCTGAAACATTTTCCAAAAAATGACCGAAATGAGATTTATAGTTAGTTTTAGAAAAAAAATTCGGTTAACTTGCAATCCTTTGAAATCAGAATATTAAAACGATATTATACATAAATAGTTGCAGAAGAGGAGTAACGCACTGCAATAAATCATTTTCATACTGTCCTATAATATATCACCAAGGCTTAACGAAGTTTAACGAAGACAAATAGTTTGTTTACCAGATTTTAGAGGATTAGCGAAGAAAGATAATGTAATAAGATTGTATAACTTACTGTTAGTACGTTTTGATAATACTCGATTTTCGCTCTGGTTGCGAAAGGCTTATTGCGGAAATCCCTCAAGCAACCGGCAGCCAACTGCGTTGTACCGTCACTGTAAAAAATTTCACAATATTACATCTGTTTAAGAGGATATGTATAGAAAAATATGGAATAAATTCTTTCTACGTCTTACTAACGTACACTTCTTCAATTTATA